GGACCTCTGCTGAGGAACTGATGAAAATTCTCTCAGACACGAACGCAGAAATTAGGTCTTGGGACGCGTTCTGTTTCACAGGCATACCTCGTCTCATCACGTTTCACTTTATCGTGTGTCACAGATTTTGCGTTTTCACAAAGGGAAGGTGTGGGCCAACCCCCTGTCCAGCACGTCTATCGGCCCCATTTTCCCAAAAGCATCTACTCACTTTGTGTCTCTGTGTCACAGTCTGGTCATTCTCACAGTACGTTAAACAACATCTTTATTATTCTGTTTGTCGCAGCGATCAGAGATCGGTGATTAGGACTCGCTGGAAGCTCAGACGATGGTCAGCATTTTCAAGCAATAAAGGATCTTATCATTGCACATCGTTTATTTTGTAGACAGAAAGCCATTGCACACATAACAAACTCCAGCAGAGTGTTCACATACACACAGGAAACCAAGAAACTTATGAGTCGTTTTCCTGCAGCAGTCTGGAACCCAACCCATGTCCGAGGGGCGCCTGTGCCCCCTGAGAAGATGAAGGACGTTCTAGTTCAGCATAAAAGTGGGCTTATGTTTTGTTTTGTTTTCTTAACCAACAGGTGACCAGGACAGGAGTTTAAAGCCCCCCGCCCACCGCCCCGGCGAACCAGCCTCGTGCTGGTACAGGGATTCAGGCACATACCATCACCAATGATGGGCTTTGGGGACGGTTGGCTGATCTCTTCTGGGAAGCACGTGGGGAGAAGAGCTTAAAATCAAAGAAGTAACTGGCAAACTCGGGGGCAGGGGGTCCAGGGGTAGGCATGACACAGAGAGAAGTTACTGCATCAGGAGTCCACTGATGATTGTCTGAACTGAACTGAAGCCCTGGAAAGCAGCCAAATGCCATGGGTGGGTGTGTCCTGAGACTGGGCTGGGGTCTCAGACCTTCTGGTGGAGAAGTCCAGGAGACAGCAGGAAAGAGATCAAGGTCACGCCCCTATCCTGAGTGGGCAGGAAGGCTTCCTGAGGACCCTCCAATGCTCCCCTGAACTCATGAGAGAAACAGATGGCAGTTCTGAGGAAGGAGACAGCTCAGCAGCCTGAAGAGGACGTGGAAACGCCTGGCACTCTCGAGGGGCACAGCGCCGGCTGCAGAGCCCAGCCCACCGGGAACCCAGCCCCAAACCCAGGGACATGGCAAGAGGATGTCATAGCATCCCAAGCCACAAGGCCGGTGCCCTCTGGGGATCTGCCGCGCTGCTGGTGGTGTCACGTACACCTGAGTTAAAGATCCCCAGACAGTCTACCCACACAGGACAGATGCTCCCAAAAAGGGAACTGGTAAACCATCTGCAGTGGACCTGACCCCGTGGGGCCTGGGGCAGCAGCCCCACCACGCTGTGAAGCGCTGTACCATCCCCGACCTCCAGACATGCACCCCAATGCATGGCGAACCACTGGCCCCAAGGTTCAGACATCCGTATTCAACAGCCCCAGGCCACGATGCCTCCCAGGCCCAGGGTGTGCAGAAGAGCGCTCACCACCAGCTACCCACCGCGAGCCTAGAGCCAGGCACGAGAACCCCGACAGGCACCACTGCAGAGGGGACGGAAACATACCTCAAGAGGAGGCTGCGAGCAGACCACCAAAACCCAGGAGTCACGGCGCCGTGTTCCAAGACGGACACGGACGGTCCAGGGCACCGGCTGCTAGCGTCCTCACGGAGGCAGAGCGCCGTGCTTCACGGCAGGCCCACTCGACAAGGGACCTGCCCCTGACAGCAGGCTCTGCCACTCAGCCTCCCCGTGCCCCAGTTCCTGGGTCTGAAACCCACAGCTCAGGGGACCGTGGTGAGGGTCGACTGAGTGACTCATGGGAAGCGGGTCTGGGAAGCGCTCTGTGGGCCACGCCCCCCACGGCCCTGGCACAGAAGCCGCCAGTCAGGGCAGCCGGAGGGAGGGAAACCATGCAGGACAGGGGCTGCTGGCTCCAGGACCTCCTGGACTGGGAGCACCCCTTACCCAGAACACCTGTCCCCAGGTGGGACTGCCTTCCTCGTGTGGTTTTGGAGACTCAAACTACTAACAGCGTGGTACCAGCTTCCTAAGGAGCCTGGCCCCGACTCTGGGCAAGACTGCCTTGGGGAGCAATGGCACGCCCAAGCGCCCCCAATTCCAGAAGGAGGTGAGTGAAGGATGGTGAGAGGTGGGCTCTGACCCCCAACTCTGACTACCCCCACTCACGGGACACAGCCCACTGGAGCCCACACCACACTACACCCTTACACCACACACACAGGGCAGGGGGGTGGCAGTCACATCCTCAGTGTGATGATTCTCAGATCCAGACAATGCCAGGGTTAAAAGTGACAATGTAGGTTCCTGGGCCCCAGCCTAAAGCCTTTTGATTCCACAGGACCCAATTTCTTTTTTTTGAGAGAGAAAGAGAGTGCGTGCTGAGCATGGAGCCCAACACAGCTGAGATCATGACCTGAGCCAAAATCAGAGTCTAACGCTTAACCAAATGGGCCGCCCATGCGCTCAAGGGCCCACTTTCTAAGAAAGGAGTCAGGTCACACGCATGCAGGTGGGCCGCAGGTCACTCTTGAGAAATGCTGCCATACGCCTGCGACTCAGAGCACAGCTCAGATCCCAGCCAGTGTCACCTCCCATTCACCAGGAACACAGGCTCCAAGGGCCACCGGGATGGGCCTAGACAGTGCGCAGCTGACCCGAACTGAAGCCCTGGAAAGCAGCCAAATGCCATGGGTGGGTGTGTCCTGAGACTGGGCTGGGGTCTCAGACCTTCTGGTGGAGAAGTCCAGGAGACAGCAGGAAAGAGATCAAGGTCACGCCCCTATCCTGAGTGGGCAGGAAGGCTTCCTGAGGACCCTCCAATGCTCCCCTGAACTCATGAGAGAAACAGATGGCAGTTCTGAGGAAGGAGACAGCTCAGCAGCCTGAAGAGGACGTGGAAACGCCTGGCACTCTCGAGGGGCACAGCGCCGGCTGCAGAGCCCAGCCCACCGGGAACCCAGCCCCAAACCCAGGGACATGGCAAGAGGATGTCATAGCATCCCAAGCCACAAGGCCGGTGCCCTCTGGGGATCTGCCGCGCTGCTGGTGGTGTCACGTACACCTGAGTTAAAGATCCCCAGACAGTCTACCCACACAGGACAGATGCTCCCAAAAAGGGAACTGGTAAACCATCTGCAGTGGACCTGACCCCGTGGGGCCTGGGGCAGCAGCCCCACCACGCTGTGAAGCGCTGTACCATCCCCGACCTCCAGACATGCACCCCAATGCATGGCGAACCACTGGCCCCAAGGTTCAGACATCCGTATTCAACAGCCCCAGGCCACGATGCCTCCCAGGCCCAGGGTGTGCAGAAGAGCGCTCACCACCAGCTACCCACCGCGAGCCTAGAGCCAGGCACGAGAACCCCGACAGGCACCACTGCAGAGGGGACGGAAACATACCTCAAGAGGAGGCTGCGAGCAGACCACCAAAACCCAGGAGTCACGGCGCCGTGTTCCAAGACGGACACGGACGGTCCAGGGCACCGGCTGCTAGCGTCCTCACGGAGGCAGAGCGCCGTGCTTCACGGCAGGCCCACTCGACAAGGGACCTGCCCCTGACAGCAGGCTCTGCCACTCAGCCTCCCCGTGCCCCAGTTCCTGGGTCTGAAACCCACAGCTCAGGGGACCGTGGTGAGGGTCGACTGAGTGACTCATGGGAAGCGGGTCTGGGAAGCGCTCTGTGGGCCACGCCCCCCACGGCCCTGGCACAGAAGCCGCCAGTCAGGGCAGCCGGAGGGAGGGAAACCATGCAGGACAGGGGCTGCTGGCTCCAGGACCTCCTGGACTGGGAGCACCCCTTACCCAGAACACCTGTCCCCAGGTGGGACTGCCTTCCTCGTGTGGTTTTGGAGACTCAAACTACTAACAGCGTGGTACCAGCTTCCTAAGGAGCCTGGCCCCGACTCTGGGCAAGACTGCCTTGGGGAGCAATGGCACGCCCAAGCGCCCCCAATTCCAGAAGGAGGTGAGTGAAGGATGGTGAGAGGTGGGCTCTGACCCCCAACTCTGACTACCCCCACTCACGGGACACAGCCCACTGGAGCCCACACCACACTACACCCTTACACCACACACACAGGGCAGGGGGGTGGCAGTCACATCCTCAGTGTGATGATTCTCAGATCCAGACAATGCCAGGGTTAAAAGTGACAATGTAGGTTCCTGGGCCCCAGCCTAAAGCCTTTTGATTCCACAGGACCCAATTTCTTTTTTTTGAGAGAGAAAGAGAGTGCGTGCTGAGCATGGAGCCCAACACAGCTGAGATCATGACCTGAGCCAAAATCAGAGTCTAACGCTTAACCAAATGGGCCGCCCATGCGCTCAAGGGCCCACTTTCTAAGAAAGGAGTCAGGTCACACGCATGCAGGTGGGCCGCAGGTCACTCTTGAGAAATGCTGCCATACGCCTGCGACTCAGAGCACAGCTCAGATCCCAGCCAGTGTCACCTCCCATTCACCAGGAACACAGGCTCCAAGGGCCACCGGGATGGGCCTAGACAGTGCGCAGCTGACCC